AAACACACAAAACCATTTCAATGCTAGCAAGTTATAATTCATAGAATGGACAACTACAACTTAACCATAAACTTGTGTTTTAATTTTATGTATGTTTCTAAGTTGCTTTTCTCTAAAGCTCTTGTTTTGTTTAATTGGCCATTTCAACGTTTTGAATGCTCATGAGTTGGCACGAGACAAGACAATACCCAGTTGACTGTTGCTACCTTTTTTGGAATTAATTTCTTGTGAATTATGAGACATTCTTAGCAATATGACTCTGAACCTTGAATACTCTTCCATGAGCCAGTTTTGTTATGTGTCATCAACTCATCTCTGACTTATGGTGCCCCTATGAATTGTTGCTAGTCGCGAAGTCGTGTCCGACCCATCGCGACCCCATGGACAACCTTCCTCCAGGCCTTCCTGTCTTCCACCTTCCCCCAGAGTCCACTCAAGCTCACACGCACTGCTTCAGTGACTCCATCCAGCCACCTCATCCTCTGCCATCCCCTTCTTCTTTTGCCATCAATCGTTCCCAGCATCAGGCGCTTCTCCAGGGAGTCCCTCCTTCTCATTAGGTGGCCAAAGTATTTGAGCTTCATCTTCTGTATCTGGCCTTCTAAAGAGCAGTCAGGGTTGATCTCCTCTAAGACTGACTGGTTTGATCTCCTTGCAGTCCAAGGGACTTGCAGGAGTCTTCTCCAAGCACCACAACCCTATCAATTAAACCCTTCCAAAATATCCTTTCCTTTACCGCCCTGTTCAGCTCCTGTAAATTCAAGACTGGAGCTTCCTTAATGCAGTCAACGTGTCTCATGTTTATTTAATCTTCCTCTTCTTTTTCTGCCCTCAACTTTCCCAATCACGATTCCTTTCTCCAGGGAATCTTGCCTTCTGCCCAGCTTCAAAGTCAGCTTCAAAGTTTGTCATTTTGGTTTCCATGGAAAGCCCTGGCTTGACCTGATCTAGGAGCCCATCCTTCTTCTTTCTGTCAGCCTAGGTTGTCCACAAAGCTCTCCTCCAGTGTTTAAAACAGATCATTTTTTTCCTGCCCCTTTTCTCCACTGCCCAACTTCAGTGCCCATATATAGTGATCAGGCACACAATACTGGGTGCGGCAGGGGGGAACTTGGCCTTAGTCTCCAGTGAAACATCCCTACACTTAATTATCTTTTCCAGTTCCTGCACTTCTGTTCATCCCAGTCTCAGTCTTTTAATTCCTTGACCACAGTCCCCTTTGAATAGACGACGAAGCCAAGGTGTGCACAGTCTTGCACAACATCACTTTCTTCATTGTTGACGGTAAATTCTGCAATTCTTCTGTAGTTTCCCGTTGCTCGCCTCCCCACAAAAACACGATGAAGCCCCAAACACTTCCCCATTCCAGGAGTTGCTCCCACCACTTGATCGTTTGTACGTCGTCCTTTTCCACGCCTTTTTGAGCTCATGCCATCTGGGTCAAAACACAGGTCCATTCTATAGCAATGCACTTCTTTGCTGAACAAGCTCTTGTAAGGCCCAAGATGAGCTGGCATTTCCAGCTCATCCTGGGTCTCATCTGGTGCCTGCTCCTCAAGCAAAGTAGCATTTTAAAATTGGATGCATGTCCTCCTGGCTCCTAATCTGGCATGGAACCAGGTTCTCTTGGCTGTGAGAAGTGGTCCCTTTGCCTCTACCTTCATGCCTTGCTTCCCAGCACCATCTTGAGTTGTTTTTTATGCAGACTTCCTCTCTAATTGCATGTTTGGCATGAGCTGCACACATTCTGTCGTCTCAGCCAGGTCTGCTTTTAAAACGTGTTCCTTGTAATTTTCTCTCTTAAAGACGGGGCTGGTGAAAATATACCATACACATAACCTGGGCTTTATGGTACCATTTGAAGCCTATTTCTAGAATCGCTTCGAAAAGAGGTACAGTTCCTCTTGCTCACCCAAAATCCCATCCAACCCTAGAGTGTTCTCCGCTTCTAAGCGCTTAATCTCTGCATCCTTTATTTGCTTGTTTATACCCCGTGCTTCCTCCCAAGACGTCAGGGTGCCTTACCTGGCTCTCTTCCAGTCACCCTCACCTTCAAAGCACTACAGTGATGTTGCCATAACCTTGGTGAAACTACACAGGGGATCTCTCCTTTCCCTGGTGAAGGTCAAGGGAGAGAAGTGATTAAACCAAACCCGCTGTTCAGCCTTGCTAGCATAACGCAAACCTGCCTGCCTCGCCTTGTCCGCTGCTGCATCCACACCTGCACACAGAAGGCTGTTCCTCGCAGCTTCTTTCAGCCATCTTTATGTGTTAAGACGCTTAATGTATTGTAAGCCGCCTGGGAAGGCCTTGGCAGTTCTAAGCGGCCTATAAATAAATAAACAATTTCTCTAAAGCCAGGAAGACTCTTAAAACTTGGGAGAAACTTGGCTTGCATCTCAGTTTGGAATATCCATTCCTTGGCCCTTTTAGAAACCATTCGAATGCTACAGCCAGCTAAATGCCTTTGATTTGAGCCAGCCAAAATCACAGACCGGGCTGTGAGTTCCGGGAATGTGAGAGCTTGCTTTTCTGTCCTAGATGGCTGCTGGGGGAAAGGGAATACAGATCCCGCAGCATCCTTTCTTCGCTGATCATGTCACCGCATGGTGTCTTTCAGACGTGAACACAAGTACTTATGAACTTCATACACTTCTGGCAGTGTGCACCTTTTCTGGTCTTATTTGCAGAGGCCCAGCTGAATGTTCAAATGCCAGCAGCAAGCCACGCTCAAATTGGGGTTAATAAAACTCTTCTCTTCCTAGCAGTGTGCCTGCAGGGAGAGAGCTGCTTTTAATTATTGAAGAACAGTCTTATCTAGTGCCTCCCTCGTGCCATGTTTCTGTTCTTCACTTCTGCCGTGCTTTTAAAAATTCTTCTCCACCAGCCGCAGCACTCTCGTGCCCATGCAGGCATCTGACTGTTGTCCCCCTCCGAATTGCACCCCGAGAACTTAATTGTCTGGGGGCGTACACAGGAGTAGAACAGGGAAGCCTTCCTGATTCACCAGAGCGCATCCTCTTTCTCACACACTCATACGTGCTTGGGACAGTTTACCCCGAATCCCCCTCTGCCCACTTGCACCATTCTTCCCCTTACATCCAGGTCGACCGCTATCCTTGCTGGAAGCATCTTCTTACAGCTTCCCTGCCACCCCAGCCATCAACAGCAACCCGGTGTGGCTTGCGTGGAAGCACGGCACACCACATCCAACCTGGGTATCCGGAGCAATGTTCTAGGCTCACAATTTTTTAATTCCAAGGGGATGTCTTTGGCACGACTCTTCACTTGGGGGATATTGGTGTTCAAGTGAACAAGAGCCACGCCTCAAGCTTGAAATCTGCCCATCGCTTGCCCAGATAGTCCCACTCCGCTTTGTTTGCCTGGAATGCTAAGCGGTAGGAATTTGTTGAAGCACAATCCCTTGCCTATTTTGGGCTTCTTATCTGTCCCCCTCAAGCCATTCATAGTGCTAGAAGAGTTATGGCTGGTAACAACTCCCCGGGCAACTGGAGGGGAGGGCGGGCATTCATGCATGGTACCATTTCCAGCATCCAAATTCTCCCCACTTGGCAGAGGTGAAGCTAACACAAACTGTTTCTTGACCTCTCCCTGTCCAACTCTCTAATGTTGAAAACTTTTACTCCTCCTTTCTGATGCGTGCATATCACTCCAGGGCAGCTTAAGTGAGTTAGAAGTACAGGAACACAGACTAATCAGTAAATGCAATGGAGGCAGGTTCAGTGAATACAGACGGTCTTAAAATCAAAACTATCCGGCAAAGCAAGGCTGCTAGAATCAAAAGGCCTTCACTTTTGTTATTGTTGTTTTTGTTCAGTTGCAAGGTTGTGCCCGACCCTTCACGACCCCATGGACAACAGTCCTCCAGGCTCTCCTGTCCTCCACCATCCCTCGAAGTCCACCCAAGCCCACACCAACTGCCCCAGTGACTCCATCCAGCCACCTCATCCTCTGCAGTCCCCTTCTTCTTTTGCCGTCAATCGTTCCCAGCATCAGGGGCTTCTCCAGGGAGTCCTTCCTTCTCATTAGGTGGCCAAAGTATTTGAGTTTCATCCTCAGTATCTGGCCTTCTAAAGAGCAGTCAGGGTTGATCTCCTTTGGGACTGACCGGTTTGATGGCCTTGTGGTCCAGGGGACTCGCAGGAGTCTCCTCCAGCACCACAATTCAAAGGCCTCAATTCTTCAATGCTCAGCCTTCCTTATGGTCCAGCTCTCACAGCCATGCATTACAACTGGGAAAACCATAGCTTTGACTTCACCCTAGAAACCTAACTTGGAACATGGAGGACAGGAGATTTAGCAGGCCACTGCAAACGAACAACTGGAATGACATTAAAATAATCTTCCTCTTGACAAGGGCAGTCTCTGCATGCTGAGAAGGAGGTTGGTTCTTGGCCTGCAATCCCGCGGGAAGTCAGGCACAGCAGGACCCACGCTTCTCACACCTGACCTGGGTTCTAAATCATTCCATTGACTTGGTTGAGAGTCTAAATCTGATTCAGATGTTAAACTGTAGGGCCAACAGTAACATATGAGTTAGGCCCAACATGCCGGGAGTCAGACAGACCAAAGGTAAGCAAGAGACCTAAAGGATGGGGAATCAGACACGGATGCTGGAGGAGGCAGAGCTGTCTTCTCCCACAAAGGATCCATGAAGTGACGTTAAGATGGTGAGCAGGGGTGGTCCTCAAGTCCTCTTTTCCCCAGGGCACTATCATGGGTCACTTCCCAGCCCTCACTCCTTGCTCAGGCGGTTTCCCCAAGTTTAGCTAATGGGGACAGGCTTGTTCCCAAACAGAATTGCAGGCCCAAGCCCAACACTAGATATTATCTGTCCATTTCCTTCCGGCTAAAGAATCCAAATGCTGTGACCCCTGTAGTTATTGTAAGATGAGTCCGTAAACATGGAAGATGGGTCGTAGAAACGGTCGTTGCCTGATCTAGCAACATGCCTCTGGTTTTTGTTATTTTCTCCGTAGGGTTGAAGTGCAGGAGAATTGCGTCCGTTGGAAGAAGAAATTTACCTTTGTCTGTAAAATGAGTGCCAATCCCACCACCGGCCTCTTGGACCCCTGCATCTGCCGCGTGTCCGTCCGTAAGGTGAGCACTCTTGCTTCCTCCTCCTCAGGGCTTCTGGTTTGCTTCTGCCCAGAAGCGTAGTTGTGTCGTTAAGACATCGTATCCATTTCCAAGTGGGGCTTGTCAAAAAAGCAAAGCTACTTGTGAACGAAAAATCTTCCTTTGGTTGACAGTTTGGTGTCCCAAAATAAATGTTTTTCGGGAGGTTTGTTCCCTCTGCTTGGATCACACACATTCTGATCCATCTTACAGAGACCCTTGTATGGAAAAGGCTACAGTTCTCCTGGAGTTGCCACCACAGGTGCTAACGCTTGTAAGCTGCCTACCAGCCCTTTCTATAGGAGGCCACAAACTTTCATTCTTTGCTGCAGGAAACTTAAAATAAAATGCATTCCTCGGTGAGTTGCGGTGCCAGGAGGAAGATGACAGGAAACGCATATAATGAGACGGGGTATCCGTGAGTTGATGGCCGAAAACACACAGGCAGCGTTGGTCCTTAACGATGGCCACGTGGCTAGTAGCTTTAAGAGCTGAGCAGCCGCACTTCACTTTTTCCAGAGAAGCTCACAAGCCTGCCTGAATGCCCAGGAAAGCTGCAGAATTTTGCAGGCGGCGGAGGAATGAATGCTTGAAGCTGAGCGTTACTTCCGAGGAAATGAAAAACGCAGTGCAATTCAATGCAGTTTTGCTAGCATAATCGTGCCCGTGCCAGAACAGTGATTCCGCTCTTGATCCCGCACTAAGACTGATGCGTCCTCATCTCTTTTCTCTCCCATTGCAGGAACTGAAGGGAGGGAAGACCTTTTCCAAGGTAAGAGGAAAGCGACGTGCGGAAAGTAATAACCGTCCTTCATTCCCCCGTAATTCCATCATGGCCAACCTTCAAAGCACTTCTCAGAAATCCTTACCATTGCTCTGTGACATAGGCCTGGTATTGACCTGGGATACGACCTCTGCACTTAGCGCTTCATCTTGGATTTCATCCGTTGATGGGCTTTCTCTAGCAATCGGTCGAAATCCCTTTAAAGCCATCTCAGTTCTCAGGCGTGGTAGGAAGAGCTCTGACACTGAAGAGGCACTGACCAAAGGCTGCTTGTTTAAGCTCTGTCCTACACCCGGCACGGCTAGACCAGATCGCTTTGTGCTGTGGAGTTGGCTCCGTCCACCAGCTCCTTTCCTAGTCTGGCTCCTAACAGGCTGTTCCTGAGTATCTGCTGTCATTCCTTTCCTTCCCCGCTGCCATTTTTCTTTTAAACTGCTCCGCCTCCTTAGGCAGACTATTTACTGCCACTGGGAGCAGACAGGGATAGCCGGTCAAAGGGCTTCACTGCCCTTCTCTGTTCTGCAAGCTCTGCTGTTTTCTGACTCTTGACTCATGAGAGCTTGGCTCCACCAGGCTCCTCCAGGTTGTCGGGCTCGATGAGAAACGCCCTTCTGATTCAGCTGCCATTGCAAAGCTCTTTCGGGGACGGCCTGCTGCTTTATCCTCTCTCAGAGGAAGAGGTATGCAGGAAAACCACATGTTCACTTCCTCCCGTGCCGATTCCCATACCCAAAAATGCCCCGCCTTTTCTCTCTGACATCTCCTTCTCTTCCAGGTCTTCTCTGTCTGCCTTTTCTTACCTGTCTCCCTGTTGCCACCTGGACCATCCCATAGGTTAAGCTCTGATCTCTCCCCACTCCTTCTCTTCCCGTTTTAGATGGCTTAACGCCCCTGAGTTAAACATCTGTATTCTGACTGCCCATGGTGGGAACCCAGATTCCAGACTACATAGTCTCAGCTTAACAGGGCTGTTTCAGCTTGTATTCTGTGCTGCTGGTGCCAAAAGTTTCCGAAGAGGAGCATAAGCTCACACCAGTTAATGCCCCCTCTAAATTCCTAGGGTTTCCAACTCCCTGTAACTGTTTGATAGCTTCAGAAGGTACAAATGGGTGCCTTTGCAGAGTCCGTGCTGGCCAAGACCCTCGTGCTGCTTATCCTGAAGAGCAGAGAAAAATGCGGGTCTTGAGCCTCTCCCGTCTTCGCTTCCTGCGAGATGCTTTTCAGAAGCCCAGCTTCCACACATCTCCATGCTGAGGGGGAGCATTCCTTAGGAGAGAGGAGCACAGGGACGGAAGCCAGGCTCCCGGCTCCGCTGACGGAGCAGAAACTCCCAGCCTCGCAGCCATATGGTGGTGCCAGGCCTGGATGTTGGATGGGAAAATAAAGGAAACCGCACTGAAAGGTTATGCCTGAACATCCTCTTGTTGAAAGGGTTGGCCTTCCTTTTGCAGCTTTTGGCTGTTTTCAGTTGTCTCCTTGCTCGCAGGAATCCATTTCCTGGAAACATTCGGCATGTTGTGCAGAGGATAGGTGGTGGTCGGGGTTGAAGCAGTATCCTGGGGTGAGCCTGTCTTGAGGAAGGCGAACAGCAGAGCGGCCTTGGTTCGTGGCTTCCGTCAGCTTGGCCTAAGGCCATTCAAGACAGTTGTCACTACAGAGGACTGCCCTAGGTACATTCAGCGGCAGACTCCGTCCGCAGTGACGGAACGGGCCCTGCAAGCCAAGGGATGGGCCTTCCCCTCCTTGGGAAACGGCCTTTGCCCCCGAGGAGGGTCCACGCGAGCCCCACGGCTTCTCGGACCGCCTGCTTCGGCCCCAGCATGCAGTTCTGCCCAAGCCTCCACTTCTCCCTGCTTCCCGGAGCAGCCAAACCTCCGAGTCGGCCAGTTCTGCAGGCGAGGAAGGGAACGTGCAAATTCTTTCTTCCTCAAGTAGCGGCGCCCGGCGCAGCCGGCAGCTGATGCTTTGCCCCATCCGAGGCTGCTCCACCTCCCCCCGTGGGCGTCCCTGCGTCTGGTCTTTCCCGAGTGCCTGCCTCCCTCCCTCCTCTGTCACTGCTCCTCCAGGCTCTCTCTCTGTGCCCCCACCCCGCACTCCACCCCACGCTTCCCTTCAGGGTTCCTATGCTCTAGCACCCCCTCCGAATCCGAGATCGGGGGGGAACCTCCTGTTCTTTCCAGGTTCCAAGCTGCTGACTCACACGGGACAGGTGGAGTGAGTTTTGCCACCCATGGAAAAAGCGGGTGGCTTTAAATAGCAAGAGTGAGCAGAGGACATCTGGTGAGCATACGGAGGGGAGGAAACAAGAGGCAAAAAATACGGTTAGGCCAGCTTCGGAGCATAGTCCGTGGAGGAGGCACTGGCTGCCGTTTGCAGCTGCAGGAGCCGGCTGCGTGCATCCCCCGGATGGTGTAAGCGCTTCATGTTCAGTCACAAAGCAGGCGGTGTGGTGGCCCCTGCCTGCCCCCGGCCTCGTCACAAGGGTCCTGCCATCCCTGCAGGAGCAGGACAGCCTCGGAAGTACCCTGTTCTCTCAAGCCCCATCGGTTTTACCTGTTCTTTGCACCTGCCTCCCTTTATTGTTGTGGCTTTCAGACTCTCAGTCGGTGCGTCTTCCTGTTGGCACTCTATACTGTATTCAAGACTTGCTTTAAGCCTCTTTGATGATTCATACAGTGGAAAGACAGGATATAAATCTTAAAAATAAAATAGCTATAATAGGCTTAAGATCACAGAATGACAAAAGAGATGCAGATTCCTGTAAGAACACCGGTATTGTCACGCCTTTTTAAAGACAAATTTGGTGTTCAGGTAAACATTCCCTCTTCAAAGGGCCAGGGGTATTTTTGTTTTGGCCCCAGACTTCCTGAGACAAGTGCTTGGAAACGGGAGAGAGGCCGTGTCCACATTACAAGCTTCTGTATACACTTAGTATTGGTTTCACAGCTGGGGCCTCCTCGGAGAATCCTGAGAATCGGTTTTGTGAAGGTACTAAGAAATTTCAGTCAGGGGGCTCCGATTCTCCATCCCAGAACTGAACTGCTCCTGGCATTTGCAGAGCAAGCCGAAGATCAGTTTTAAAAGTGTCCCGTGCCTTTTAAGAGAGCATAGCAGAATTTGGGCAAGTTCTCCGTTCAGGCATCTCCCCTCTAGTGGTGTTGCTTCCACCCATCTAGACGGATGTAATCGCTCCTCTCTGTGTCCATACCTAACCGGGAACCTGCTCTTATTTTTTCATGATCTGTAAATGTCCTGTTTATATTTCCTTAAAATAGCTTAAGGCAGCATGCAGGGTTGTTGTTGGTGTCACAGAAAAAAAATAAAAATGAGAAGTGCTTTGAACATCCCAGAGAAGTAGAAAGGCTGGCTTCTCACTGGCTTATAGGGATGGAGGGATTGCCTGGACCTCCAGCAGAAAAGAACATGTTCTCCGTCCTTCCTCTCTGGACAGGTGCCCCGCCTTCCCTTCTGTGTTTCGCCCACATTGTGTGTTTGCATGCGAAATGAAGTTGCCCTTGCACTTAAGAAAATAGTGCTAACAGTGCTAACTCCTCCCGCTATGTTTGCTGATCTGGATGCATATCTTAAAATCATTTTATCTCTGCAATGGCATAATGCTTGTGGTAATGAAGTTTGGAGAGCTGGCAGGTTATGAGATTTTGATGTAAAGAGATGTAAAGAAAAGCTGCTTTGAAGAGCTCTTCTTTCGAGTTCCAGAACCTGATAAACAAGTCTGACAGTGCTTTGAAGCTGATTTCGTCCCATTATACACCAAAATGGTTGCATAGCGATGCGCCACTAAAAGAAAAAGCTCAAAGCTGAGCCCTGGAGCCCAACGGGGTTTGCGGTCCTTCAGGAGCTAGGAGGCAAGAGCCGGCAGGAATGGTTCCATTTTTGCAGCCGCTTCCCTCGCTCTTGGATGGTACCATTTTTCCCACCCCCTCTCTGCAGCCATGCAAGAAAACAATCTTTTAATGCCCCCAAACATAATTCCTGAAACTGTCCTTTGTCCTCTTAAAAAGATCCGCTTGTGCGCCGTCCTAAAGTAAGGCCTACAGCCCCTCTCTTACGCGTGAGTCACGTTCCCGGGCTTCACCACGGATTGCCCTACAGGAACGTCTGACTCATTCCCTAGAATCTTTTTTTCCCAACCAGCCTGAAATGCACTCTCTCCGCAGTCCTAGAAAATGTAGGCTGAATTCATCCGCAGCCATATCCCTCCATCTCTGGGTGCGCGTTGCAGTGCATGCTGGGATGGCATTGTACAAAGAGCGCCTTATTATGCCTGTGTGCAGGCATGAGAGAGTGTTTTTCCACATCATTGACCTAAGTGTCTTCTTTGTCCTTGATTATGCAATGACTCAGGGTGGGTTAACACTGTCCTTGCCAGAATGACAGTTCTGTTTCCTTTGCCCTATATGTAGAAGCTTCCGGAACACTTTGGGGTTAGGAATGTGTCCTATCCCAAGCGAGGATGTCGATACTGCCAAGTTATGTGGCCTGCCCTGTTTGGTGCTCTTCCTTTTATTTTTCTTTCACTGTATAGTGTAAAGTATTAGGCTTTTTATTTAAAAAAATTTGTTGACTTTACAGCTAGGATTTGCTGATTTGAATCTGGCAGAATTTGCTGGCTCTGGGTTCACAGTCCGGTGCTGCTTGCTGGAAGGATATGACACGAAAAATACCCGGCAAGATAACTCCATCCTGAAGGTAAGGGGTGAGAGCTCCCATTGATTGGGTGCTGCGCCTAAATTCCTGCCTGAACATACATATTTGAAAGACTCTTTTCTGTCCTGCTTCCCGTCCCTTCCAGTTGAGTTTTGGCCAACTTGGCGGTTCAAAACAGAGAACCGAAGTGGCTCCTTGCAGGCCAGGAAAAGTCATAGAGGAGATCAACCCTGACTGCTCCTTAGAAGGCCTGATACTGAAGATGAAACTCAAATACTTTGGCCACCTAATGAGAAGGAGGGGCTCCCTGGAGAAGCCCCTGATGCTGGGAATGATTGAGGGCCAAAGGAGAAGGGGGCGGCAGAGGATGAGGGGGCTGGATGAGGTCACTGGGATGGAGAGTGTGAGCTTAGGTGGACTCCGGGGGATGGTGGAGGACAGGAGGGCCTGGAGGAGTGTTGTCCATGGGGTCGCGATGGGTCGGACGCGACTTCGCAACTAGCAAGCAAGCAAACCCCCCAGAAAGGGTTGGGGGGAAAGGTTTATTGTTGTGAGCCGCCCCGAGGCTTCGGCGAATGGGGCGGCATAAAAATGTTTTAATAAATGAATGAATGAATGGTGGAGAATTTCCTTCTGTGGGTAAGAGGACGCCCTTCTGCATCTCGCACAGGTAACAATCGGCATGTCCCTGCTTTCCGGAGACCCCTGCTTCAAAACGTGAGTCGTTCTTGAGCAGATCCTCTGCTCAAAGCCACGGGTTGCGAGCTGTGTGCAGAGGCAAGGAATATTAGCCCGCCTTCTCGCTGGGCAGAGCGCATGGGTGCAGGATAATGCCAGTGCACGCACCCAGTGGGGGCTTCCGCAACAGCTGCAGGCGCGCTGGAAGCAGCCTTTTAAGCAGCCTTTTACCTTCAGCTGCATCCTCCTTGGTTAGGCTTCGCTACGGGAAGGAAGCAAACAAATTGCAAAGATACCGCCAGACGGTGGAATCAGCAGCACCTTCCTGCGTGAGATGCAGGGAGCCCAACGTGCAAACTGGTGACTTCATTGCCCGTGCCGGGAATTCTTGGCTTACTGGTGCCCGGTATCGGCTCTTTCAGCGTGCTGTAAAGCTTTCCATATGAGCGGCATTGCTCCTGATGCCTCCTTTACAAGCCCCTTCCCTTATGAATCGTTTCCTTCCTTGCAGTGGAGTAAAACAAGATGCCAGGCAGAGCTCTTTCGCACTCTGCACTTCAGTGATGGTCACGATCCTTAGCCATTTATTGATTTAAAATATTCCCCATCCGATACGAAAATCGCCCCAGGATGGCTTACAATGATTAGAATAACAAGGCTATCCTTTGAAAGGAGAGTGTTGACTTGTCGTGCAGACCTCCGTCGACAGCCAAGTCCATCAGCATCCCAGGGCAGGACTCCACCCTCCAGCTCACCTGTAAAGGTGAGGGGACGACCATCACCACCACCACCACCAGCACGCCTGCCACTATTGGGTCAGTCCGCCAGAACAAGTCCAGACCCAGCATCCTTGGCTCAGGTACCGAACATACATGTCATCGCAAGACCGTTGCCCAGACGGCTACCATTTTCTGCCTTCCCTTCTGGCTTCTTCTTTGTGGTTCCCACCGGTCTTTCCCATTTTTGTTGTCCGGCCTCCAGTTGCTGTCGTCTTGCGCCTTCCTGTTTCCCAAGCCGGGAATGACTTTCCCGTCCGCTCACTTGGCCACGTCCCTCTCGTCCTCCTTAACTGCTCTTCTTCCTCTCTCCCACAGCTAAGCCACTCGCCATGTGATTCTCCCCTCCTTTTCTGCTCACTGGGAACCCCGCCCTTTCCCCATCCCAGAACCTGCGCAGCTTCACGTGGCACCGTTTAAAAAAGCCAGACATACCCGGAAATAACAAAACGAGACCAAGGGTCCATTTGTGACTTTTCCTGCCCTCCTTTACGTGCTGATTTCTGTCTCTTTTCCCGTTCCATTTGCATGACTGACCGTGTTTATTGTGTGTTGGCACTGCTACTTGCTTGTTAAATTACGTGGCAAGAGGGGCTCAAGGGGGGAAAGCAAGGTGGGACCACCCCTTTCTTGGGAATGCGTCACCCTTAAAACTGTTCCTCAGAAATGCTTGCAGTGGTGTTTCCCCCCCTTCTTTTTAATGGAATTCCCTACAAAAAGAGCATACACCTCTCCCAGTAATTACTCAAGAATGCTGCTAGTTCAGGCGTTGGCTGCCCTTTTAGTGGGCCAGAGAGAAGCTGGCCAAGGGAATCTCTCACACAGTCACTGGAGAAAATTGCTTGGCAGATCCGGAGCCGTGCCTGCTACCGCAGGGAAAATATTGACATTCAGTGGCGCGGCTTCCTTCATCCCAGCCAGCCGAAGCCAGAGATTCCACAGAGGTTCCCACAGGAAAAGGCCTAGCTCTGTAGCTGTGGTTTGCCAGCAACCTTTCTGACTGTGCTTTTCTTATCAGGCGTACCAGAGGAACCAGATCAGAACCTGTCCAGTCCAGAGGAAGTTTTCCATTCAGGGCATTCACGAAATTCCAGTTACGCCAGCCAGCAATCCAAAATCTCAGGTAACTTCTCATTGCAAAGCTCGCCCAGGAAATCTGAAGTGCATTACAGAGCCATGCCTCAGGGAATTCCATGTTAACGTTTGCCATGCTGCCTGGAATCGTGTCATAGCAAAAATCTTCAGCAAGAGCCAGGAAAGGTGCTGAATTACAACGAAGCCACATAAGAGTAGACAAGACTCCTTGGTACTTCCTGCTATTTATGCGCCTGGAGCGTTGTATTTTCCCTTTTTTAAATTAAGCTGAGGCTCAAACTGAACCACACATTCAGTGCATATGTTTCGGTATAGGTGTGCTTCAATTTAGTAATTTAATTTTGTTTACCCAATAGCTGAAGTTCTCTGAATTTCATTCATTCATTCATTCACTCATTTCATTTCCATGCTGCTCCGTAGCCAAAGCTCTCTGGGCAGTTTACAACAAAGTATGAGAACAATAAAATGCAATGGATAAAATACAATAGATAAAAAAAGATCTTTTTAAAAATTAAAATAGCATAGAAGAACAGTGAAAGAGAATAAAAACACCTGGCCAAGACTAAAAGAAAGCACCTGGATCATTGTGTCGGGCCCCTGAATGATCAGGGAGGGCTATAAAACCCTCCACAAGGAGGGCTGTCGACCTGATGCCCCTCACAGCAGAAAAAGGCGCAAACAGGGCAGGGGTTCAATTTAAACCACTATGGGGGCTTCCAGCAGGGAGTGTGGGTTTCACAAACAACCCCCTGCAAGGCATATGCTTCTATCGGTGCCAAAGAACAAGTCTCAGCGTTCTGTCTCCCAGTTTGGTTTTTCCTTTGTCTACCATCTGTCGTGCGTGTGGCGCAGGACGTGTTTTGTTTGACCCAACGTAGTCCTCCCGCCACGGGTGGGGAACCGCCCAGCGATGCTCCTGCCTCTGGGCAGAGATACGGGGCCATGGACCAGTTGCAGCGATCCATGACTCGTCTTTCCACAGGCTACAGCACTGAGCATTCACGGTCCTCCAGCATGTCCGACCTGACCCACCGCCGGAACACCTCCACCAGCAGCAGCACCTCCGGCGGGCTCAGCATGACGGTGGAGTGCCCGGAGGGCGAGCGAGACCACAAGGTGGAGAAGCCTCCTCGGCCACCAAGACCCGCTCTTCTGCTGGACAGATCATCCAGGTGGGCGCTGCTTGGTTGAACCCCTCTGGAGGGTACCGAGCTGGGAAATACTTGGCTTAGCTGATGAAGTGGGAGCTTGGTCCCTGTCCAGGAAATGGGCGCATCTCTATGCAGCAGCCTGAAACTGAGGTGGAGCATTGGCCCACCTGGGCTGCCCAAGTTGCCCTGTACTAGCGACAGAGTTCTGTTATGCTGAGACCTTTCAACTTTGGATGCTTCAGGGTGTGTGCGTGCAAAGTGTGTGCTTTACCACCACCCCTGTAATCTTTGCACAGGCAGATCGTGCTTGCATGCTCTTCGAAGCACACCTTGCGCAAGCAGAAAACGTGTGCGTGCCACTGCAGGTTGGCACCTCATGGGTTAAAAAAAAACAGGCAAGAATAGCTCAGCGTGATGTCCAAATGTAGGAGTGTGGTTTACTGCAGCTAATGTTTGTAATAAGCATGGTTTATTTTGCCCAGGATTTGTAAGCCACCTTCAAACCACAGTTTGTTTTTGGCTATAATTCCTCATTTATTTGTGTGCAATAAACCACAATTCCAACATTTGACAGCTGCACTAAACTCTCCCTGCCTGGCTTTACCTGCCAGTTTGCACAAATGAGAGGAACAAGAAAATAGAGGTCATGTGCATGTTTCTTCCCTTTTCCCTTCCCAGCAGATCAAGTAGAGAAGCTTCTACCTACAGTCCTTTATTGAGTTAGGCTGGCCAGCCAGGGTTGGCTTTGTAATAGAGAGTGAAAAGTATTTAAACGGTTAACAAGAACTATTTACAGAGTTAATGATCCCTCTGATTGTTTAGTTAGTTCTTGCTGGTACCAAGAGCTGAAGCCAAACTGAATTATCTTCGCTTCCAAAAGGGACTGGTTACACCCTCAGGGAAGTTCATACCGCATATGGTGCATGTGTTGGGGCCACTGAACTATGCCCTTCTGTTAGGCTTCGTGGCTGGCTTTTGAAGTTGAGAGGAAAAAACAGTTAATGTTTAAAAACCATGTCATGCCCAGCCTTCTTGTGCCTCCTGAGTAAAACCTGTAACATGAGATTTTCTGCAACTGACAAAAATACTGGGTTTTGTGGGAATGACGAAGAGGGAACCCAAGAACGGAGATTCTGTTCCTGGGACGTAAAAGCAAAACTTCTCCCCATCCACTCCTTGCAAGGAGAAATGACAGTACTTGGTTCTCATGCAAGTTTCTTCTTCTTAAAAATGTGTTTTTCCATCAGGAGGAAAAAAGATTCTGTGGAGAGCCACCCCACGTGGGTGGATGACACTCGGATCGATGCCGATGACATTGTGGAGAAAATTATGCAGAGCCAGGACTTCACGGACGTCAGCAACACTGAAGGTCGGTTTCGGACGCTTCCCAAATGGAATTCAGCTCGGTCCTCTTTTATCCTGTCGCCCGGCACCTTCAGACCTTGCTCTGTGCTGGCAATGCACATTAGAAAGGCCAGCCAGGAGGAAAGGGGAGTGAAGGGACGAGGAAGAGGAAGAGGCCAGCCGGTTTGCCCAGGCACAGAGCAAAGTGGCGAAGTCATGTGGGCGCTTGTGTCTGGCCGGGGCCAGGCCAGTCCTCCTGCTTGGGCCGAGGACTGACCAAAGACCCAGCAGCCTGAGCCCCAGCATCCGAGGTCAGAGTATGTGCTTCCATTCGAGGGTGCTTTTCCACCCTGCACTCGGAGCTGTGGCAGGGGAGGGGAAGTCGGCTTGCTCCAGCGGCTGCTTCTCTGCCTGACCGAGGGGGTCGGGTGAGGCTGGATGCTTTTCCTTGGGAAGAAGCATCTCCAGCCTCCAAATAGTCCTTGCCCTGTCCCATGCAGGAGCCCAGAGGGTGCGTACCTTCAGCTGCCCAGCTCCAGAGCAGCGGTATAACAGGCACCGGGGGAAAATATTTGCTTCCATTTTTTAAAATACACATTTATGCATGTATATAACATGCGCACATCTTCGTGTAAATTATACGTAGGCTTAACAAAAGCAGATCAAAGAACCAAATAGTTATCCTTTAGAGATTGACATCGATGGGCAATCCATCCTCTCCTGATCAAAGCATCATCACACCCTCAGTCCGTTGCATTTCAGGCGGGGAACGCCTGTCCTTCCGGTTTTGTAACCGCAGTCTTTTTGCTGTAAAAGTGGCGCGCAGAATCCATCTCCCTTCCATTTGACGCTTTCATGAAGCAGGCAAATCCAGAAGCATGTGTATGCACACCAGTGAATATTAAAGATGGTTCCAGTGCAGATTTCATCTGTGTAATAGCCTCTTGCCCGAAGAAGCAAGAACTAGACAACAAATGTTTTTTAAAAGCCATGAGATGTGTTGCATGCCAGCACTTAGCCGAATTAGACCATCCCTTATTAAAGAGACATTGTGTCCAGTAGACCCAAAACAAAGGGTGTTGTTTTGTTTTATTCTTCTCGTTTAATTGTAAACCGTCCCGAGACGCTTGTGGGGGACAGGGTAGGAAAGCTTTTAATAAAGAAATAAATGAAAGGTGGAGATGCCAAAGCAGCGCTCTGCAGATTGGTGCTTTGTGCTGCTGCCAAAGTTTCTCCGATTCCCAAAATGCATCTGTGCATCTAATGTGGACAAAAATATCCCTGTTCCTCTTTTCCCGTCCATCTACCCCTTGTTTTTCCATTTAGCTCGCAGCACCTAACCTCGCATGGGTTGCGCTTCTTGTCCATCAGAGCCCCAGTGGTGCCTGAAGCCGAAGACGAGGCCATTTTGTGGGTGGGAAAATGGTTAGCCACAAGCATCCCCCCTTGTCATAATTCTGCTGCCACGGCGTTGCCTTCTCCCATCCTCTGTTTTTCTCCACAGATAGCAACCTGAGGCTCTTTGTGAGCAGAGATGGCACAACTACACTAAGTGGGATTCAGCTTGCAAACAGGTAGAGTCACCTTCGGGAAGGCGAAGAAGGGGAGGCCTTGGGAGGCCCAAGAGCTCCTTGAGGCAGGATTTTGCGTGTGATGCTGCCGCGCTGCCCCAGAACTCGGAACGTTCTCGGCAAGCCGCGCACGACGGCCCCTCTTGGGAGGGAGCCCCCTGGCAAATACCTCCCCGGTATGGTGAAAACGTGAGCGCTCCCCGGAGGCTCCGTGCCTGTTCGCTCTGCGGTTTGGCACTCTGCTACTCAGCGGACAAAGCCACCTTAAAGCCACCCAGCGGACAAAGCCACCCAGTTGTCCATCACCACTGAAAAACCGCAGGGCTGAAAATGTCAGGAACTGGGCTGCAGCCTTCTGGACTCGGCCACACAGCTGTATTTGCTCCCCGCAGCTTCCTATTCTGTGGTGAATCCTAAATCAGAAAGCATGTTTCTGTAGGTCCCCTTGGACTAATTCACGTGCTGAGGCCACGCCGGGTCGTTTTCATTTGCTGCTTCCACTGTGTTCTTCTATTCCACCTCTACCTATCGTACTATTTAAGATAAGTAATCCTGCCTGCAGAGTTGTGATCTAATACAGCACAGCACAGCAAAGAAGGCTGAAGCGTGCCCACATGGAACACTCTTATCTTGATGCCATAGAAATTCCTTGCAGTATTTAAGCAATGTCTCTCTCTCTCTCTCTCTCCACCTACCCACCCAAATAAGCTTTCTGACGCTTGATTTCAGGCCAGGTTAGTTTCTTTCGATATCTCCGTTAAGACAGCCCTTACTTTCGCATTTAACTCGAGGCCCTACAGGGCAAATTGGCTGGTGCAAGTCACCCTTTTCTCCCTTCTGTTCTGGCAGAGTCTCATCTGGAGTTTACGAGCCAGTGGTAATCGAAACCCATTAAATGTGAACAGGCCAGGCTTGACCTGCTGGAAACAGTCTCCGGCTCCATCCGCAGTCAAGATGGACGCCCTGTCCTCTCCCCGCTTTCCCTTCGAACCCTTTCTTCATGCAACATTCCAGGCTGGACTTCCGCAGCTCCACCCCGTGATGCACGTGCACACTCCGGACCCGCTCTGAGCCGAACAACACTCCAGGACGTGGACTTTTGCTCCGAGCTGGGGGAACGGGAGGCAGCGACTCAAAAGCTCTCATCAGTCCTCTCCCTGTCGCAAGTGCCATCTCAGAGCCTCTCCAGCCCCCACGGGGAGGAGGAAATTGTGCACTCCCTCCTGTGCGCCGTGCCTCTCGGGGCCTGTCCCCCTCAGCCATGGGGTTATACCACTGTGAGCTTCTCAGCCCCCCAGACTGCTCCAAGCGGGGCACAGGGGAGAAAAACTATCACGGATGCAGTGCAGAGGCAGCCGGTTGGATGCCTTATCCAGCCGGGCACGTTTGTCAACAAGCTGTGCCATGTGAATTGCAAGCAAGCCTTGATCTGAAGTCTACAGCTACTAAACAACCTGATTTTTATTTGAAGGCCCGAAGCCGCAGAGTTTCATAGTAAATGGCTTACGGTTGGCTGGTTGGCTTGTCCTTCCAAAATTGCATTTGAAGGATCACTAAGAAATGGAAGAAAGGGTTCGTTTCAGAAACGAGCCAACGAAATATTATGACTGCTGTTCGCATCAGCAGCAGCAGTCTTTTAGAAGCCCCACCCCCTTCCACTGCAGGCATGGAAGGGGCCGGCTTCATGTCGATTCCATTTCGGGGAGCGCTTCAAGGGCTCCTAACAGGCCCAAGAGGGCAGCTGCAAAAGGCTTGCTTCACAAGCAGCATCCGTGCTGACTTTTCCCCCCTGCAGCGACCCACCAGCCTTTGTGGACGGGTGTGGGGCAAACAGCCGGAGCCTTGAGGCCCGCAGTGGTTGCGGAGCCTCGTTCGAGAACCATCGGACCTGTCCTGATTGCTGTTGCGTTCCAGGCCAGAAAAAGGTGCTTGGATTTGGATAATGCCTCCCACCATCCTGGCTGGGAGCATTCGACGCTCTCCCCAGCTGGGGAGGCGATGGACTCCCTCACCGGTTCTGGTCGGGCCTTGATTAGCAGAGAGGAGGTGTGGCTGCCGAAAAAGCGGCTGCCTTCCCCTTGCCAAACCCCTTGCGCAGAAACGTGGTCTAACGTGCCTCGAACCGTCTGTGTAACTGCTGCTCGATTAACAGGCCTTTGCCCAGTCAGGCTTCCTCCAGATTGGCTGGACTGCCAGCCCCATCAACCCCAGCCGCACCGCTGGGACCTCCCACACCTCTGGCAGAGCCCTGGCGGTGGGCAGCTGTATTCTGGCCCTTCCTGCCAGGCCAGGCTAAGCCTGAGGCATCCGTGCAGCGGAAAGAGGCAGTGCAACGAACGGTGCCACCCGAGATGGTGGGGCGAGAGATCCCATGTTTGGATGCTCCCCTGGAGTAAGGAGAAATCCCCGGCCAGTAGAAAGCTAGCACATCAGAGAGAGAGGGTCCAACCACACCTCTCTCTAGATTTCTCTTTGCAGGGAGTGCCTCCTGGTGGGAAACTCCGGTCCTCGGGAATCTGCCTGCTGGGTCTCTTCCCAATAGCTGTCTGATGTCCTCATCTCGGTGTGGCACACTTCTTGGGCTGGGGGGTGGATTGTTGTTCTGTGAAACAGATGCTTACCCTTTCCCCACCTTCCCTGTAGTGCTGCGATGCGGGGTTGGGGGGCATTTCGTGAGGCTCCCTGCTGTGGCCCTTATAAATCCGTCCTGGCAGCTAGTTCCCCTGTGGCGGGCAAATTCCGTGCCCCCTGCGTACACGTGCAGCCCCTCTGCCCTCTTCGGTATCCCCACTTCCCTCGTGGCTGCTGTGCAGAGAGCACGTTTGTCTGTTTACACACACGGGGCCTGAGAGCGTGGCAGAGGCCACGGCGCTCCGTTCAAGCGGCGGTGGGCAAGTTTTGTCCCTCCAGAGACCTGGCCGACAGTGCCCGGGCTCCCTAGCCGTGGAAGTCGCCGGCCAGATAGAAGGCAGCAAGTGGCCCACGCCTGCCTTAACGCATGTGTGCTAAGCACCTGCGCATGTTCACACGCATGCACACAGGTGGTCGTGCAGCAAGGGGAAAGATACCTGATACCCGAGTTGATTTGTGGCGGGATGCCATAGGGCCGTGCAGCCAGGTGGACTGCATGGAATTCGGGAGGGCGGCCGAGGACTGAGAAAAGGCGGTTCCAGCGCTGCGGCTGGACAGGAGCGGGCGCCTCGGGGGCCCCTGCCATTTCGCCCACCCCTGCCGTGGCCACCTGTCGCACAGGTACAGCCGAAGCGCCGTCTGCGGCGCAGAACTTCAAGAACAGGCTCTCAAAAGCCAGCGTTGCTGCGGGGAGGCGGCGGAAAGCTGCCTTCGACCTGCTTGCAGCGAGGCCCGGCTCCCAGTGGGGATCCGGTGAGGTGTGTCTTTCAGGCATCTCGTCCTCCTTCGCGTCGCCTGCTGTCCCCAGGCCTGGCGAAGAGGGGAGCGGTTCCCCCATTTTGTGGCCAAAGGATTGCCAGGCCTGTGGATGACCACGGCGCCTGCGCCAGGGTACGGCTGCCAGCGTCCGCCCAACCCTGCATCCGGGAAGTCCGCATGGACCACTGCCGTCGCACTTGACCCTTCCGGCAGCTTGGCCCTCCGTTGCCGGAATGCGTTGCCTTTCTCAGTACGAGGCCCATGTGCTCCTGGCTGGTCGGAGCCCAGAGCCCCCCGCCCTGCCCCAGTCCGTCCTAAAATGACATCCGTAGCTCTTCTAAGCCAAGTCCCGTTTGCTGCATAAGCTTGTGGTGGTAAAGCCGGAAACGTTTTAGCCGAAAATTCTGGTGCTGCTGAAAATGTTCTTCATGTCGCAAGTGCTCGCGCCCGGCATGGTTAGTGTCTTCTGTTAGCTGTTCGAAGAATGCTTGTTTCCCTTTCTTTCTCATCGAGATCCTCAATCTGCTGGTTTCATCTGGAGACCTTTCCTCCTCTCTTTCTTTTATCTTGAAGTGTATTGAATTTTGTTGATCAACCCAGCAGGCTGGAGTTCTGCAGCTTTTTTAAAAATCATTTTTCATCATCTCTTCTTGAGGGTGGGATGCATGATAATTCCTAGAATTATGGGCGAGTATGTGGAGGGTCTGAGGAATCTCTCTTCCGTCTCCTCCTAGTCCAAAACCTCGACTTTTGGGGGATTTTTGCCAACGGCCACTGCCAAAATGTGCCGGGAGCAGAGATTCTCGCTTGCTAGAAGGGAGGAGTAGAGCTGGACTCTTCTCCCTCCCGTGCCCAGTGCCAAATAGGAACAGACTGGGCTCAGTCGTTCCACAAGAGAGACATTTTGCGTTTCGGTATCTTTGAGCTCCTTCTCTGAGGGAAGCAAAGGCTCCCGCCCTCGCTGCTTCAGAGAATGGCCCCCGCCCCCCATTTTGGGGTGTTGCTTTGCTGTGTTTTGTTTCCCAAAGGCATGGATGTTTTCTTTGAAGGACCATTCAGAGTTGGAGAAATAGCTTGATTCAGGTGTCCGGTCGGATCGCTTTTCCGCCTTTCCTTCCGTGTCCCACCCACTTTGAGAGAAACTTCTCCGGCTGCGCAGCTGGGCTGCGCAGGCCCCGTGAACCTCTGGGAGGTCTCCCACCCCCATTGCCAGGTACGCATTGCATTAGCGCGCCCAAGGTAAGTCCGCCCCTCCTGGAGAGGGGGACCAAGGAGGGCACAGGCCGCCTCCTTGCTTAATCTCAGGAGCTGCTAAGCGACCCCAGCCTCTTCCCGCTTCCCTCCGTGAGCTAGCGAAGGACCTGCCCGGCTACTTCTTCCGAGCCCTGTGGACAGGGCCGGTCTCTTGGGGCTAGGCCCACAAACGGTTGTGCCTGGTCGCAAGCGTTTGTCGCATCGGCGGTCCTCCGCATCCAGAGGGACCAAATTCTGCCTCGGCGTCTCCTTGGCTCACCTTTGCTTTCCCTGGCCAGCTAGTGCGGGGAGCTTTGGCCTCCCCCACGACCTGGAGAAGTAAAAGGGTCGTCCCTGATTCTTTATCTTGCTTCAAGAAATGATGTCTGTTAGTGTGTTCGTTTTTTCTTTCTTTTGAAGCCCATATTTTTGAGGGGGTTAGAAAAACAGAGAGATCACCTTTATTTTCTTGGAAAGTTAATGAAGCTCAGGTGAGATGCGTGCTCAGTTTATATTCAGATAATTCTATAGTGAGTGAGCACGTAGATATTTTTGGAAAGGGGAAATGGGACTATGCAAACTTCAGAAATCGCTTGAAGAGATAGTTTTAACACTTTCTAAACTTTGAAATCCTAAAAACAGATTAAAATTTAAAGATGCTGTTGGCGTTGAAAGGAAGTATAGAAGAGATGTTAGTTCTGCTGTTCTATTTTCTTTGAAAAGCTCGTGGGGTTAGAGGTGAATCAGTCTTGTGGTATCTTTTACACACGCACACGCGCACACACAGACACACAGTTTTTAACTTGCTCCTCTAGTGTTTTGGTTTTCTAACAGAACGCTGTGCCGTCTTTGACTCGACTGATCGTGTTTGTATTCTCTGTTACCTGGTTCCTAATGTAGAGAAACCACGAATATAAAGAAGAAATCACTATTAATGTCAAATGTCATTATGGTTTTAGGGGAAATAAAGGTGTTTTTGTGTTTTGGTGGCGGTGTTGTTTCTTTCTCATCTGCCCTTTACTGTTTGCAGAGGTCCAAACTTCCAGATCCTGCATAGTTGGTCTTTTTAGGAATATCAGATCGGAGCACTTAGATCAATATCCTGTTTCCAGGGCAGGGGCCCAAGAAGATTCCTTGGCATTAGCTGTAAGCAAGGCAGGAAGCTAACAGAATGGTATTGCATGGCAGACAAGCATTGGATTGTATTCTTAATATCTCTGTCAGTAGTACTAATCGTTACAGTAATGGCTTTCATATATTTCCTGAATATTTTGCAATCGTTACACTAATGGTTTTCATATATTTCCTGAATATTTTGCAATCGTTACACTAATGGCTTTCATATATTTCCTGAATATTTTGCAGGCATTTTTGTGTGCACTGCAAAACCACTCCCTCTGCAAAGAGAGGTAGAGTTCCGATTTCTATTAGAATTCGCCATAGACCAGGGGACGAAGAAGAAACTGCTGTGAGGAACCCGTCATTGAAGTGCTGTGCGCCATGCTATCTTATGGACGCGTTATTGTATCTATGGTGCTGGAGGAAGGGGGGGCAGGAAATGGCTTCTGTGTCACGTGCACACGCTGTGGCCCATAGAGAAACTTCGATATCCCACAAAAGTGTAGAGGAGACCATTTCATTACATGAGTAGGGCATTTCCTGGTTCACGCTGCGAAAGCCTTTTTAAATATTGCTCCTCCCTGCTCCCCGCCTACGGCAGAAGAGAAAATTCCCCATATTGCTCAACGAAGAAACCCTGAATTTTAAACCCTGAATTTTAAACCCTGGACCATTGCGGCAGCAAGGAAGGGGCATCCACACACTTTCTAATACTGAATTTACTTGCTGTGGAATAATGGGAACGATCCACGTGCATATAAAATAGTTCTGCAATCCTCAGCATGCCCGAAAGAAGATGGCTGCGTGGCGGATGCTCCAGGACGCCTCCCTGCCTAACCATGCCTTAGACTAGGGTCTTTACTTAGTTTCTTCACTATTGCAAGAATCCCATCTCCCGACGTTTTTGTCCTGCCAAGAACTCGAGAGGGCTTACATAGTCCTCTCTATTTTAGCCTCCAACAACGCTGAGAGGTAGGCCAGGCTGTTAGGTCAGCTTAGTCCAGCGAAGGACCAGACCCTGCTCCAGCCCTTAGGCCGTGCTGTCGTCCAGAGTCCTTTCAACCTTCCCGGGTGGTGTCCTCTACATGCGTTTGGGCCGCAGCTTTCCAACTGGGTGGGGATTATGGGGCTGGGAATCCAACATACCCCGAAGACAAGTGTAACACAACGCCGAGTACATCGCTAGGAGTTTGAGTTCTCCCCGGAAGTATCAGCTCCAGGGCGCGGTTGGCTTCCTACTCCTTTCTTATCTCTATGGCTTCCGACTGCGCGCGCATGCGTCCTTCCCCTCTTCCCCCCCGCCCCGAGCTGGGCGAATTCTGATTGGGCGGCGGAGCCAGAAGCGCGTCAGCCCGCGAGGAGGCGGGGCGGCTCGCGCGGGGTCGCGATGGTGAGTTCTCTCCGCCCGGGCCCGGCTTTCTCGCTGCTTTTGGGGAGGGGGCCGAGGGCGGGGGGGCCGCTTTTCTTTGCATTGCGTCTCCGTGCCTCCCGCCCCCGCTCCCCCCCCCCGCCACCCGCCCCCGAAGCTCGTGCTACGGGTTTGCAAGGTGCCCCAATTTTGCAAGATGCCGCGGGCTTGCAAGAGGCGCGGCGGGCGTCTCCCTCCCCGCGCCCGGCCGTGCCGGGGGTGGCAGCTGCGTCGCCCCCGGGCTGGGCATGCAGGCAGCCTCGGCTTTGTGGGGCTGCAACGCGCCGGGCCGCGTCCGCCCAGCTCGCCGCGCCCATGCTCCCCAGCAAGGCGGCCTTCGGCCGGCTGAGCGCTCCGACGACCCAGCCCGAGCCAGCCGGGGATCGCGGCGCCGGGTGCGGGCGGCCTGCGCTGCTCGGCCTGGGGGGACGTGCCCCGGCCCGCCGCACGCTCTGCCTCCCGTGCCCGGATCCCGGATCCGCTCCGCGCGGGACGCCGCTGCCCGCGCCAGGGGGATGCTCCCTCCCGTTCAGCAGGATCGCCGCCCGGCTCCCCCCCGAGGGCCTCTCGCTTCCACCGGAGCCGCGGATAAATCCAGGATAAATCTGGGCTGCGCCTTTCGAGCACGTTACTCTTGCTGGAGGTCGGTGCTCATTCTGGCCACTGAGACAGAGGTCGAAAAAACGCCCGTAGTTCTGGCTGGCTGATGGCAGCGAGGGAGCGCAGCACCGGTTCAGCTGGTGCGTGTTCCAGTTCCGTAAACATTGACACTAAAACTGTGCACTGGTATTCCTGGACAGACTGTATGGCAGGGGCCTTCCCATACTGGCAGCCTCCGAGCAGCCCTGGCCAAGCCTTTTCTGCCTAATGAGCACGTCTCGTCCGGATCACTGTCCGGGTGGTTTATGTAAGCCGGGTCTCCCTGAGGTCTTGCTTCTGCAGGCGTTCACCTGCTTCCACGACCATCTTGTCGCTGGGCTGACCCCCAGATTTCCCTTCCTCTTGTATTTCAGGCGACCGCAACGGACCAGCTGGTCGGCTATGGCTTGGTGGCCTTCAGCCTAGTCCTCTTTGCCTACTATACCATCTGGATTATCATTCTGGTATGTGCTCGGATTGCTCGCTCGTTGTATTTCTAGCGCCCCTTTCCTCCAAGGAGATAGAGAGGGTGCCTGTGCTTGTCCCACTTGGCTGGCTGTCCTGCGCTACCTTCACGCCAACCCTGCAAGGGAGGCTGCCCTGAGAGGGATGGGGCTCAGGCCGCAGGGCCAAGAGGCAGATGATGTACCTGGGCCCTCCCATGCTGGCCGGCCAGGTCGAGCTTCTGGCAGGAGAACTCCGCAGCCCAGGTGGACGGCCCACGTGGGAAGGCCCTGCAGCCCTTCTCGGCAGAGAGGGGGACGGTAAGCCGGGTCTGCTCCGCAACTGCTTTTGCTCATTGTCCTCTTCCGCATCGTGCCAAGCAGAGAACCGAGGAGCTGGCAGGCTGTGCCATCAGCCACTCTGGGCCGGAGTGAGAGACCGGGGGACAAGAGGGTGGGAGGAACAGGACTCGGACACAGAACCCAGTTCCACGAGCGGGAGTGCTCGCCACCCCCTTCGACAGCTTTCAGAGGCAATGAGGCAGCTTTCCAGAGAAGGCACATGCCTGGATGGGAAGGGGCCTCCACACTCAGACCCTGCCTGGGCTGGCCACGGTCATTTGCTCCCAGCCTCTGGGCTCTCTTTGCTTCTTACTGGTTCGTCTGTTCTTCTAGCCCTTCATGGAGAGCGACCACCAGATTCACAAGTACTTCCTGCCCCGGGAATTCTCCGTAATCATCCCCGTGGTCGCGGGACTCCTCTTGCTGCTGTTCGTGGGTGAGTCAGCGCCGTGTCCACATTATTGGTAGTAGAGATATTTTTGCTTCTGTACTGCTGCAAAGCTGCAACCTTCTGGGCAGTTTACGACAAAAGCAAGTCAACGAAATGCCAACAAATAGACATTGGAGCGGCCAGAAGGGAATGTACTGAGCCTTGCTGTACAGAACGCCTGGGAAAGGTCCTTCCCCGAAGGCCCTGGGTGTCCGAGGCAATCTTGACACGCCTTGGCCAACCACGTCCCAAAAGTTGACAAGGATGCCACTAGGCCGGCCACAGTGGGGACTTCCATAGGTTTTTGTGCCACGTGCAGAGCGCAAGTTTGGGGTGAAAGCTTCGGCCGGAAGTCTTTTGTCTGGTCTTACAACACTCTGCATTGTGGTGATGCGGCTGGGCAAACACGTATTTGTGTGCATGTGTGTCCCATTTCTGCTTCCTCACTGGAAAGGGCCGTAACTTTTTGTGTGGCATGAGCGCATTGGAAGAACAGGCTAATTTAACAGGCTCCCTTAAACATGTCTGAAGCCACGATCTGGAGCAATTGGGAGCATTGCTTTCTATCACGTTACGGTTGCTCTGGTGGAAGTTGTTCTGTCCGGGCCTCGGGCAGGAGAGCAACCTCCATGTGTGTTTGTCTTCCCGAGGTGCGCTCGCTCGTTCATTTGCGTTGGTTCTCGCAACGGGAGCAGACAGGGAAGGCCTTATGCGAAGGGCGGGGGGGGAAACGGGTCCCCGTAGCATCCAAGTGAGGGGGGCAGGACGATCTCCCCAGAACAAGCCGCTTGGGGTCTTGCCCAAGATGGCGTTCAGGGCTGACCCAAGGCTTCCTCAGCCTGAGGTGTGTCAAAAGATGGTGCCAACCTTCCCGCCCACTGAGGTGCTCAGCACCGCACGGCGGTCCTCAGACTCCATGGACGGAAGCTCCCCTCAAATTCCTCCGCTTGTCCAGGGCACCAGAAAACTTAACAGTGCTCTAAAGGATCGATGAAATAACTTTGGGGATGTTAGGCACCGGGTTCCTTGCTTTTATGGTGAGGCTTTATGGCCCCGGCAGGCCACTGATTACCTTTCTCCTTCCTGTGAGGCAGGGATGTTTATCACCACCATCTCATGGAAGAACCGGAAGAACGCCAAGAAGGCAGCCTGAAGCAGCAAGCGCCTGGGAGCAAGTGCCGAGAAACCCGCCAGGCTGCCATCGCCCCCCGGGTTCAGCCCCCGAGAACTAGCAGCCCCAGAGGGACCCGGAAGAGTGGCGAAACATGGGTTGTGTGTTCCTCGGGCTGCCCCCAGTTGGCTCCCGCCCCATTCTCCGGCTAGCCGTTCGGCCTGCGTTTTTCTCCTGAAGTTTGCCCTGTTCAGACATTCCCAAGCCTTCAGGACTGGGAGGAGCATTCCAGTGTATCTCCTGCCACTCTCCATGGCTCGGCGGGTGGCTGCACCCAGCACGGGGGGCTCTGTTGGTGTGCTTTCCCCTGCAAGATTTCAAAACCCGCTCAGCCCACCCCGCTGGAAGCCTGTCCAGAGACTCCAGGCCGGTGGCGGGCAGGGGGGGCAGGGCAGCCAGACGCTTCCTTTGGTCCTCTCTCACCCGCAGCCATGGGAGGAAGAGGATCCTTGTGTCTGGATGCCGGAAAGGGACCCCCGAAGGGACAAACCTCCGTTGGACCACTTATAAAAACGGGTTGATAGAATTGGAGTCTCTGTGTTCGTTAGCCAGTGGTGAACGTGGCCACCGTTTGGATCAGGGTGGGGCAGCGGGGCAGGCGTCTCCTCCCGAGCCACTGCCCCCGGGCAGACAGTTCGGGTTCTGCACCCCCGGCCCCATCCGTGTCCTCGGCTTTCCCATTTTCTGTGCTGACGCTGGTTTGGTAGGAACAGGAGGGTTGCAGGAAGATGTGGGCCTCTGGGCCCCACCCCTTTTGCCAGTGGCCACGCCCCTGTTTCCCCCAGCCCCGCCCGCCCGCCTGCCTGCCACGGTGGGCAGCTCCACAGATGGGCTCCAGCCCTGGGAAACCAGCCGAGGTGGACGGCTGCTGCCCCGGCGTCGAGGTCCTCCTAGACCACAAGGACGTCACGCCAAGGTCAGCTCGGCACGGGGAGGGGGATTCCGGAGGGGCTGTCCCCACACCTCCCTCCACGCCTTCTGGGGGATGCTCGCCACATCGGGTCGCCCAGGCCTGTGGCTTCGGTTCTGGCCCAGTGCTCTCCCCCAGCCTAGGAGTCTCGGGCCTCACCTGCTGGCCAGCCTGGTCCAAGGCGGAGGCTTATGGGGACGTGCCCTCCCAGGCTCTCCCCTTTTGGGTTCCCCAGCCCGGGCGCGGGGGAGGGAGCCGCTGCCACGCAAGAGCCCCTCACCACCCCTTTCCGCAGGCGCCTGATCCATGCTCTTGAGCAAGCCCCCGTCTTCGGCTGCTCGGGCACCAGACTTCCCGGGCCAGTTCCAGCTTTTGCTGTTTCAGAAGAAGAAGATGGCCGGAGGCTTCCGGGCTGCAGGCCTGCCACGAGCGAGGCGTTCTCGAGGGCTCGGCCCTGCCACGCTTGTCTCAATCCCCATTCTTCACGACCGCCCGGGGGGCCGGGGGGTGCAGGCGGTGGGATTCTTGTGCGCTCGGAGAAGGCCGGTGACGAGGCAGTGGAGGGAAGGGCGAGGGTCCCGGGGAGGCGGCGGTGGGCCCCTTCCAGGAGACGGGTGCACGTGGCTGCCCAGCCTGCCCCCATCCCGACTTCCCTTTGGACCCTCCTCACGTGGGGTCTCTTCCTCCGTGCTGCTCCGCCACCCCTTGCCAGGGGAGATCACGGGCTGACCCTCTGCATGCTGTCGGCAGCCATCTTCCGAATGTTTTCCAGCCGAGCTCCCGGTCACCCCGAGGGCCCCGGGCAAAAGTCCCGCCGGCTGCAGCTCCGGCTTTTCCGAGGATCCGGCTGCTTTGCTCAGCATCGCTGCTGCTGTTTTGTTAATCACGGCACCTTTGTGAACATGGGGGGGGGGGTGCTCCTAGCACTCAAAAGGGCAGGGCAACTTGAGTTGTGAGTGGGCATCCGTGCCCTGGGTTTCGTGGCACAAGGCGGGGTTCTCGCATCGGACGTGGCACCTTTGGCGATCCCACATAGGCCACGGTCGGCAGGAGTGACGGTGGTGGGTGCTGCGCCCTGGCTGCTTGGATGGGGAAGGATCCTGGCTCCCTGGGGATTATGGGATCACAGGCCCTGCCAGCAGGTGCAGCCTCGGGCATCCTTGACCTAGCCCCCCCACCCGCCCCCGAAGTTCGGCTTTTGCGCCACAACCTCGGCTCCCGGTCCTCCTGCTTTTGGAAAAATCCCAGGAAAAGCTCGCAGGCAGAATCCTACCCTTTGGCTCAGGCCAAGCGGCTTCCTTCCACCTTCCCAAATACCCAGACCTTTATTCCAGACAAAACACACATGTGCACACAAGAGTCAAGACCTTGAAATGGCTCTGGGAAAATGGGATTTTTTTCCATAAAAGGGTAAAATGCCCCGCATGTTTGGATGGAGACTGTTCATTCAGGAGCACAAGAATGCTGGCTTCCCAGTACAGCAAAATCTCCATTCATTTAAATTTTTTCTATGCCATCCATTACTAAAAAAAGTCTCTGGGTGGCTTATAAGGAAGGAAGCCAAGAACAAAAGCATAATGACACAGCAGACTGCATCTAAAATAGTACTAAAAACAGGATAAAATTAATTGTTAAAATACTGGGAGAATAAAAAGGTCTTTGGCTGATGCCAAAACGAATAGAGCGACCGCCAGGCAGAGCTTCCTGGGGAGCATGTTCCACAGTCGAGGTACCACCCCTGAAAAGGCCCTTCTCCAAGTAGCTACCACCCCTAATTTCCTTCCAAGGGGCCCCAGAGAAGGGCCTCTGCCTCAGATCTCAAGGGACAAGCAGACACGGAAGGAGGTGCTCCTTCAGGTACCCAGGACCCAAGCCATTTAGGGCTTTAAAGTCGTCACCAGCTCCTTAAATTGGGCGGACTTCAATTGGCAGCCAGTGTAAACAATACCGGACCGGCGTAATAGGAGAGTATCGGCCAGTCCCTGTTGCCCAGATTTGAATGGGTTCAGGGTTCGAGGCCCCTCTTCCCGACAGAGACAAGTTCAAATTCCTTGAGGTTTTGGGGCTCGGTGTGTTTTAGTGATAAGGGCACTAGACTGGGATGGAGAGACCTGGGTTTGCATCCCCACCTGGCCATGAATCTTGCTGGATGACTTGGGCCTGTTGCTGCTTCTCAACCTGGCCCATATTGCAGGGTTGTTGTGCGGCCCAGATGGAAAGCTGGAGAGAATCTTAGATTTTTTGTTGTTGCTGGCACACACTGTCAAGTTGTCTCCAACTTAGGGCAATTTTCTATGAAGAAAAAGCACTTACCACCAGCGTCATGGGTAGATTTTAATTTAGGTCACGTCCATGCATCACAAAAGATACCCTCTGGTAGACCTCCTCCTCCTCCTCCTCCTCCTCCTCCTCCTCCTCCTCCATGAATTCATAGCCATTTAACACGATGCCACATTTTCTCATCATAAGTTCCATAAATAATTACAATTATTCCATTTCAATTCCACCCCATCAGTGAAGCTCCCTGAAGAGATTACAACAAGCCATAAAAGCAGGCAATAAAAATGCAATGAAAACATCATACAATTGGGAAAAGCATTAAGGAGCTTAAAGACACAAAACCCCCAGGATGGGAACACCCTGCGTGATGTTAAGACCTTGCTTGCCTTCTTTTCTGCCTTGGGGCTGCAAGCTGCCCCTGCAAAGAGGGCTTTAGATCGCATTTCTTAAAAGTATGCAAGGCAGAACACTCCAAAAACTATGAATTTCTAAGCAGAAATTAAACCAAAGCACAGCATGTTAAAGTTAACGCAACGCAGGCCAGACTATCCGCCTGTCTGCAGGTCCTTTCAGAGTCCAGCGATGATGGGCCGTGTGCTTTTCCCGAGGGAGATGGTTCCAAAGATGCCGAGTCCTCTACAAAGGCGCCATCTTTGGGACCTGCCGATCTGTGAGTACCTGTTCTCTGGACCGAAGGTGTGGGCAAGGCCCTCACAGATAAGCAGGTTCCAGGTAGTGCAGTTTGGGCCCCCTTCCCCCAAGCCAGTGGGGGCTTGGAAGGCTGAAAGAAAGCGGCCGAGGGGCCTTGCTAGGAACCTCCGAGCGGTTCCACGGTTTCTAAGGAGACTGGAATCATCGGGCTTCACCGGCTGGCTTCTCTGAGGTCCTCAAGCCACCCCAGCACCATGGCTCCAAGGCAGCAGGTGGGCAGGGCACATTTCCTCTCCTCCTCCTCCTCCTCCTCCTCTTCCTCCTCCCCTCCTCCTCCTCCTGGCCCTGCCTTCGCCAGGCTTCCTGGCGCCCCAGGCACCATCCATGGCTCAGGCAGAGCAGGCCCAGGTGCTGCCGGCTTCCTTCCAGGCACGGATCTACCTTCTGTGCTCCGGCTTCTTGAAAATCCGTGCTGGGGTGGCTTTGTGCAGCGGTCCTGGCTTTGCCACGGGCCTCTTGCTGGAGGTACCCTGGATCCGTGGGGTTCTTCAGCCCGACAAACAGCAAAGCACTCTGAGAAGCTGCGAGCCGGCAGGCGCCCCAACCGTGTCCCTCACCAGCCCCAGCACCCGCTGCGGTCAGTCCCACGCCGCAAAGACCCCGAACACCCCCAGCCCTTTTCTCACGCAGCCGCCCTCCTCTCTCAACAAGAGCCTGTGGCCGTTTTGCCCTCCTGCTGCGATCCTAAGCGGCTTAGGGCCCGGTTCCCTGAAGGAGCGCCTCCTTCCACATGTGCCTGCCCGCCCCTTAATTTCTGGGGCGGAGGCCCTTCTCCGGGAGCCCTCCTCCGAGGAGATTAGGAGGGTGGCTACCCAGAGAAGGGCCTTCTCTGCGGTGGCACCCCGTTTGTGGAATCCGCTCCCCAGAGAGGCTCGCCTGGCGCCATCACTTTATTCTTTTTGGCGCCAGGCTAAAACCTTTTTATTTCCCCAATGTTTTAAGATCTGATGGTTATAATACGGGTTTTACTGTCGATTGGAATTGTTTATTGGGATGCTGTGTTTTGTTTTATTTTGTCTTATTGGCAACCCGTCCCAAGACTATGGAAAGGGATGGTCTAGAAAAGTTCCAAATAAATAAATAACAATTCCGCCTAACCTTTCTCGATTTGCTGACCTTCCTTTTTCTGCCCCGGCCCCCCGCCCGCCACCCCCTCAGCGCAGAAGCCCAGGAGGCGTCCAGCGTGGCCGGAGGTGCCCCCTCCCAGCCCCGCTGAGCGCTGCATGCCTCTGCTTTCCCCCCAGCCGGCGGAGGCCGTGGAGGCGCAGCGGAGGCGCCGCTTGTCCCACCCGCTCATGTACCGCTTCCTCTGGACCATCCGCCAGGAGTGGAAGCTGCTGGGCTTCTTCGAGGTGAACCAGAAGCACCCCTTCTACGGCTGGACCTGCATGCTGAAGAAGGGCCTCCGGGCCTCCGTGCAGGAGGCCATCGATCGCCCCGCGGCCCCGGTGAGTGTCTGCGGGGCACGGCCCTGGGTTCGAAGCCTCGCCCTCCCGACCAGCCTTCCCCCTGGCGAGGGACCCCGCGTCGCCTGTAGGAGCCTCCTTCCATTCAATGTCCCGAAGCCCCGGGAGCGGGCTTAGGCTCCGAGGTCCCCCCAGGTGCATTAAACGGAGCCCAGAGCCCAGATCTTCTGCGTCCCGATGCAGCGGCCGGGCCACAACACCGCCCCAACCCTCTCCCTCTCGCTGCTGCCGCCTTCCAGCCCTCCAGAGGAGGGAAGGAGAACTCGCAGGCTCGGCATTGGCCTCGGGGCAGTTTTCTGCCCCCGAACGGAGTGTGTGCCACAGCCCTTCCGACGCACAACCGCTCGCTCTTGCCCCACAGGCTCCGGGGCCGGATGGTGACTTGAGAGGGGCCCCTGGTCCACACCTTTGCGCAGTGCGGGATCCTGCAGCGGAACATCCAAATCGGGCCGTGATCCGCGGCTGGGGGAAGGCGCTCTGCGGGGGGAGAGGGCTCGGCTGACAGAGGACCCTCCGAGGGCAGGATGGGGACCCCACGCAGTGTCGTTTGGGGTACGGCCCTGAGGTGCAGCCCTGAGGCCCACGGCCCCCTGCAAATCCCCAAGCCTCTTTCAGCCCCCCACCTCACGAGCTTCCGTCTTGACTCGGGCTGCACAGGCGCGTTGCGAAATAGCACAAAAGCGCCGGGCTTTTCTGCCCAAAGTCTGGAGCTCTCCGAAGATGAGGGACAACGCCAAAGGAGGAGAGGTGGCAACCGACCGGCTGCTTTGCCCTTCTTGCGTCCGGCCCTGAGTCTGTCTCTCCCTTTCTCTGCCAGGACAGCCAGAGCGAGTCGGACTTCACTGCGGTGCTGAAGCAGAGCCACGAGGTAGGAGCCACGGGGCAGGGCAGGGCAGGGCGCGAGCCCAGACCCGTGGCGGACCAAGCGCCCCAGCGTGCTTCGTCCCCCGGCCCGTTCCAGCCGCCCTCTTCCACAGCCCCTCTGCCCCGTCGAGCCTGGGCCGCACCGCTGTCCTCCTGCCACCGCCCCGGTTCCGCCTTTTGCAGGGCTACCAGATGCGGACGTACGCGGGGCCCGTCTTCGCCCGCTTCCGGCACTTCCTCGGCATGGCGGATCAGGACTACCAGCAGTCGCTCTCCTGTGACAGCCCCTACCTGCAGTTTGTCGGCAACTCGAAGAGCAGTGCCGACTTCTTCCTCACGTAAGAGACGCCGCCGGCCCGAGCAGAACAAAACTGGTGTGAAGGGACCTTGGGCTCCACTTTGGCTGGTAGTGGTGCCCACGGAGGTCCGATCAGGTGGCACACTGACACCAGGGCTGCCCGGGAGCCGCAGGCCACCGGCTTCCTCACTGACCCCCTCTTGCCATCCAGAAGTTCGACACGTTCTCACGTCCAACAGCCACCTGCCCTTCCGTGTCTTTCCAAACCGTTGTTCCTGTGTTTGCAACTGGTTGTTGGTTGCGAGATGCACACACGGTCTCCTTCCACATTCTCCAAGATGCATGCCCACCCTGTTGGATGGATCGCCCCGTTCTAAGGACGTGCCTGTGATTTTATTTTTATTTTTTCACGTTCTGGTAACCCCGGGGCGGGGGGTGTTTTGGGTCTGCCGAGTTTTGCACACATTCTGTCCAAGCCCTTCCCAGGATGTGGCAGCGAAAGGCCCTTCTGGAAGCCCTCCAGTGACTTGGGGGCATGATTGCAACTCTTCTGCGGTGTCCTGGAGTGAAGCTGCATCCAGAATTCTGGGAAATGGGGCAGGACGGGCAGCCGTGGGGCACAGAATGCCCTGCAGTGCCGAAGGAGGCTTAACGCCGGGGGGACCCTGCTGGCCCGCTTCTTTTCTGTAGCCACAGTCATCTGCTTAGCCTGCCTCCCCTAGCATGGTGTCTTCCAGATGTTTTGGGCATCAGCTCCCATCAGCCTGACCAATGGTCGGGGATCATGGGAGCTGTAGTCCACAATGTCTGGGCAGCAACTGGGAAAGGCATTTGGGGGCAAGAAGCCTATTGTGGGAGGGGGCGCAAAGGAAGCCGAGCTCTCAGCCCTTCAGGCCCGGGGTAAATTCTAGCTCTGCCTCTTTCCCACAGCAATGACAAACGCTTCTTCCTGAAGACACAGCACAAGCGGGAGATCCGTTTCCTCCTCACACAGTTGCCCAAATACCTCGATCACATGGAAAAATACCCTCACTCCATCCTCGTGAAGTTCCTGGGTAAGAAACGCGGCTGGGCCAGCTCTTGAGGGGGGTCCCACGGAGGTGGGGAGGGACCTGTTTCCCCCTGCAGACGAGGGCAGGACGCGCTCTGATGCAACCAAGCTCAGGAAGCAAACTTCAGTTTGGATGCCAGGAAGCACTTCCTGACCCCGAGGGTGTGGAATGGGCTTCCCCGGGAGGCGGCTGAGGCCCCATCGGTGCGGGTGTTCAAGGACAGGCTGGACGTGCACATGGTGGGCATGTCGTGAGCGGAGCCGGCTGGAGCCAGGGGCCAGACTAGATGGCCCCGTAGGCCCCATCCAACTCGCTCGGTCTCTCTGTCACTGGGGTGGGAAGCCTCCATCAGCCCGCAGGCCCAATGCAAGCTCTGCGGAGCTCGTGGGCCACATCCCAGGGCGGGGGGCCCGGATGCCAGCAGAGCAGAGAGGCCTTTCCAGCTGTGAGAGTGGGCAAAGAAGCCCGTGCGGGGTGGTTGTGGGGCAGGGGACGATGCCCGCCACGGATCCCGAGCCCGCCATCTCGTGGCCCGGGCCAGGGCAGGAACGGACGTAGCCTAAAAGTGGCGGCTCTCTTGTCTCCCTCCTTCCCACAGGGGTCCACAGCATCACAGTTCGTCGGGAGAAGAAAGTGAGTCACGACAACCTGCAACGTAATATCGCCCCGGAGTTTCGTTTTCCCCCACCTAGCATCCTCCAGACGTGTTTGGGCCAGAGTGACCCTCATCCCCAGTGGCTGGGGGTGATGGGCATTGTCATCCAAGCGCCTCTGAAGAGTGCCAGGTTGGGGAAGGCTGCCCTAAAGACGGATACTTGCCCTTTGCCAGGGGGTACTAAAACTACATGTACATGGTCAAAGTTTTCTCCCGCTTTGCAAGAACTGCGTCTTCAGGAGGCTTCTTAGTGCAAGTCAAGGGTCAGGAATGCAGGGAAACCACCGATCACTCCCACCCCCCGCCCCAAGAGCAGCTTCCAAGGGACATCCTCTGATGTGGTACAGTCCTGTCATGCCACTCCCCTCCTTGAAGCATCTCTGCTGGGGGTTCCCCATTCCAAGGCACACGGCTTCAGGCTAGCAGGGGAGGACTTCCCTCACCCGAAACAGCACCTTTCGCCTCTCCAGTCAGAGGACCACCTGCCTACCGCTTTCTGCTTTTGCCCCTAGAAATACTTCATCATCATGCAAAGCATCTTTTACCCGCACGAGAGGATCATCGAGCGGTGAGTTCTGAGCGTGCTTTGGGCAGGGACGCTCCGTTTCTAAACCAGGAGCCCTCACCCGTGTTGGGAGGAGAACCATGAAAAGCCTCTCACCTTCTGGGCCTGGAATCTTTTGCACTGTCTTCCTGGGAGGAAGCCCCATAGAACCCTGGGTTTACTTCTGAGTAAACATGCACAGGATTGTGGTACAGCACATTTCTCCGCCTATGGCACATCTTTCCTGCTTCCTGGGCTCTTTGGGGGCAGAGTTTCCTTTCTCCCAGTCTTCCTTCCCTAATAGGCTAGATTTCCTTTCCTTTCCCACACCCTTTTGTCTTTCCCGATTTGTATTTCCTATCCTCATTACAAGATCAATATATGATCGCGGTATTCATCAGTGCACAGGGGGAGCCAAAGGCAATGTTGAAAGAGCTCAGCTTGGGTCCAGATCGAGTCAGACTTACAGCAGACACCTAGACAGGGATGGCATTTAAAGGGTGGGTTCACACAAGACATCACAGCACCGGGTGGCTCCTTCCAGAGCATCCCATGGGATGCGAGTCCAGCTCCATTTCTCCTTCCAACTGGTGCCACAACAGCCCTCAAGCCAAACCTCCTCCGTGCCTGCCCTGACGTTCTCCTTGGGCCACCATGTTGCTCATACAGCACCCGGGGCGTTACCTTCACCCCCAGAAAACGGAGGATTCGCGATGGCGATGTCTTGGTCGGTCTTTCGGAGGTGCACAAGGACTGTTGGGAGCCGGCGTTCCTCCTTCAAAAGCCACAAAGTCTCCCTTGCGGAGCGTTCTCTCAGGCCTGGGCTACCTCGCAGGGGTGTGGCGAGCATCCCCGAGAAGGCGGGGAGGGGCGAAGGCAGGCTCTCAGGAACGCCCCCTCCCTCTGCCTCCAGGTATGATATCAAAGGGTGCCAAGTTGACCGGTGGTCTGAGGTAGCTCCAGAAGGCAGCAACGTCACGGTGATTTTGAAGGACCTCAACTTCGGGGAAAAAGCCATCCACCTCGGTGGGTGCCCGTCTGAGGAAGGCCCCCCGTGCCTGGTGTCCATGGAGCTGTCGGCTCCAACCTGGGGGCAGCCACACCGCCTCCAACCGGGCAACTCCCAGTGCTGCGTCAAGGGGCCCAGGCCAGGCGGGCAGTGCCTTCCTCCTCCCCGGGGTCCCCCCCGTCTCTTCCAAGACGTGCCTGCTCTCGCGGTCAGCCTGGGAACCTGAGCAGCGACCCGGTGGGCTCCATGGGGCCGTGCCCCCCTCGTCTTTTCCTCGCGGTCCTCTCCGTCAGAATCCAGTATCGCAATGCCGGCAAAGAGGGGGTGCCTGCCCTACACCCTACGCCCCTTACTGGCCCTCCCCCCCACGTGCTCCGCCCACCTCCTGCCGCCTCCCCTGCACTGCCCCTGTCCCGAATCCCGTCGTAGGAACAGGGCGTCCTCCTCGGGAGACAGGTGCCTCGCAGGCACACGCAGTCAGATGTCGCCACAGGGGCCAACATCCCTGCATGTGTGGGAGCATCGCTTGGGCCCGGGGAGGCCGAGGGCCCCTCGCGACCCAGCACTGCCCCGGCGCGCGCTCTCGCCCACACAGATCAGCAGCGGCCCTGGCTGGTGCACCAGGTGGAGCTGGACACGCAGTTCCTGAAGGACCTGGACGTCATGGACTATAGCATCTTGGTGGGGCTGCAGCCCCTGCGGGAGGACGAGCGCATCCTGAACCAGGCCCTCATCGACATCATCGCCAGGACCGTGTGAGTGGGGCCGGACAGGTGTGGGCCGAGCATCCAGGCCCGGTTACAGGCGAGCTTTCGGGAGGCCAGAGCCCGCTTTCTGGGGGGTGGGCAGGGGGTGGAGGTGCAGGTGCTGATCGCTCCAAGCCCAAGGGGAACGCAGGACCGCGGCCACTGTGGGCTTCCGGTCAATAGGAATGTTCCTCTCCCTCTGGAGCAGGTCTGTTGAAAAGCTGGTGGTCCTTACGTGCCCGTTCCCAGCCCCACGAAAAGCTCGACAGCAGCGAAAAACCTCGCTGTGGTTTCTTCCTCGCCGCAGACCCACTCAGGCAGGGCGGGCGGGTACAGGAGGCTCCGGCTAAAGGGAACGGCATTTTGACCGCTAGGATGCCAGACCCTGTTCAAAGAGGTTCTCTGTGTTGGGACACCCGGGAAACCGCACTCTGCTTACGCCACAACCCACTGTGGGTTGGCCTGACGTGCGCACACGCCGGAGAGCCGGCGGGACTGGCGTTTCAAAGGGGGCTTTCTCGGCCTCTCCGTCTGTGCCGGGCAGGTCCATCAGCTGCAAGGGCTCCGGCCACACCAAGGAGCACCCAGACAGCGAGCCCGACGTCCTGAGGCACCCGCCGTCGGTTGTGAGCAGGGCCGCCTCCAGCGTGGACCACCTGTACAAGATGTCTCCCGAGAGCAAAAGCACCATCCAAGGCGTGCTGGCGCTCTACCTGAGCCAGCGGCCCAGCGCCACGCTGGCCCCCGAGAGCCCCACGCCGAGCGAGACCTTCGTGCGGGAAGTGCTGGCCCCGTACCTGATGCGCCGTACCAGCAGCAGCCACGAGCCCGGCTCCTCCACCCAGCTGGATTCCTCCGGACAGGCCCCCAGCCTCCACAGCATGAACTCCTCCTCCTGCCTGGCCCAGAACAGGCGCTTCCTCCCCAGCTGCCGAAATCCGCTGCACGTGATCGACGGGCCCGAGTACCGCTACTTCATCGGCATCGTGGACCTCTTCACGGTGTACAGCTTCTGCAAGAAGCTGGAGCACCTGTGGAAGAGCATCCGCCACTGCGGGAAAAACTTCTCCACCATCAACCCCTCCTGCTACGCAAGGCGACTCTGCCAGTGGGTGGAGGACCACACCACCTGAGCGCCGGGCGCTGGTGGGTGGGGAGGGGGGAGATGCCCTGCAGCGGCTTCCTCCAGAGTCCCCAGTCGCTGGCTGCGTGACGGCACAGAGGGAAAGAACCGCCCCAAGGGCGAAGTTGCTCGCGGGCCTCTCAAGTTCCAGGAGCCCTGGAGCAACGATTTGGCCCACGGGGCAGCAGCTGCGGGAAGCCAAGTTTTGGCCAAGAGTGTTCTGGTGTGAGGCCCAAGCAGCCAAGGACAGCTCTCCAGAGGTTGGGGACTCCAACTCCCAGGAGTCCCTGCTAGCACCGCCGGTGCTCAAGAAAGCTGGGAATTGAAGTCCCCGAAACCCGGAGCTCTACCCCTGGGGAGAGGCAGGGGAGAATTCCACCCGGTGTGCGGCACCGTTGCGGGGTCAGCCCGAGGTTTTCTGCGACAGCCAAGATTCGAATTCCACCCCGGGCGTCGTAACGGGTCAGGCTGTGATCTGAAGCTCGGGGCAAGAACAGCACTGGAACCCACGGCAGGGCGTTCCACCGCCAGCCTTCCGTCTTGCTCTTTGGCACGGTCAAAGGGGGCCCCGAAGAGGTCCAGACGGAATTCAGGATCTGGGCGAGGAGGCGCCGACCCAGCGATGCCGAAGCGGTGAGCTGTATCTTGCGTGAAAGAATAAACGCAGTCCAGAGAACGCAGAGTGCCGTGGCTGATTTTTCGGAAAGAAACCACACGTTCTCCTGGCCCCGTGCGTTCCTAGGGTAAGTACCCGTGATTGTGGGTGAGGCTGACAAGGCCGGCGCTCTGATTTTTGTGGGGTCTTAGCGTTGCTTCCGCATGTTTGCTTGGTTGACAGAGTCTGTGAGCGACTCCAGGGGGCTTTTGCCAGGGGGTCTTTGGGCAAGTGCCCCGTCACACCCACCCTCGATGCTGGCAATGGGCAAGATGCAGCACAGGGTGGCCCTGGAGAGAACTCGCTTCGGAGCGATTTCGGCCACCCCCCCATGCTCTAGATAGGATGTAAGCCCTCTTGCAAGCACTCAGAAAGTCATGCTAACATGTTGCAAGAACGCCCAAGGAAAGAAAGAAAATATTTATTTCAGGAAAGATGTTTTTTGGCACCAGACAAAAAGTGTTTTTATTTTTCCAGTATTGTAACAATTAATTTTTAAACTTTAGTTTTAAACGTAACCAAAGATAACTAACTTTTATCCTGATGCGGTTGCAATTGCTATGACTTTATTATGATATTTTTTTTCTTGCTTGTTCGTGTTTTTAACTTTTGTTCACCGCCCAAAGAGCCTGAGCTGCCAGGCAGTGAAGGAAGGAAAGAAGGAAGGAAGGGAGGAATGTTTTAATAAGTCTTAAAATGATGCATATTTAAGAATGACTTTCACAACAGGCTTGGGCAGAAGGTAGGTCTCTTTATATGTTGGACTTTCGGCTGAGAGCTCTCTTCTCCAGTTTTGCCCCTTCAAATCTTTTGCACTGAACTCCTGGTATTGCTTACTCTGGGCCAGGCTGGTAAAGGCTGATGGGAACTGAAATTTAAAACATGGAGTTTAACAGGTTGAGGAAGCAGAGACAAGACAGCCCTCAGTTTTGCATGAAGCAGCTGGTGCTTTCCAGGCTCAAACGCACACGCCCTCGATGGGGAAACGGTGCTGTTTCTGCCATCCCCTGATCAAAAAGCCAGTTGCTGCTGGTTCTGAGTGCACAGACGGAGCAGAAAAAAACGCTTCCCCAGTACATGAGGGTTAGGGCCAGCATTTTCTTTCAGCCTTCACTCCCACAGCAGCCGCACTCATATCGAAAACGAAACTGTGCCTGCAGCGAGGCGCATGGCCTCCGCCCGCCCACACACTCATTCTGCAGCATGCGCTGCGGGCCTGCATGTGCGCGCGCCAAACCTGGAAGCACTTCGCAGCCCTGCGTTCCTTTTTCTTTGGCCTTCCGCTTGCCAACCTGCCCCGGTGGATGGTGCAGAAGAAGGCCTGTGCCCGATGAGGTGGGGGGTGGTGCTCAAAAGCCCGGGGTGTGGAAAACGGCAGTTCGGTGCGAGAAGATGCGCCCCGGCCACTGCCCAGAAGGCCAAGTATAAAGAAGAAGAGGAAGCAGGAAACGTGGCTTGCTCCTGGAAAAAGAGAAGGACGCCTGTGGGGTTTTATGAGCTCCCCCACTCCCTCACCCAGGGGCTTGGCAGCCCCCCCCCCCGGGCTCGTATGTGCTAACTGGAGCTGGTCTGCTGCCTGTCCCACACCCCCCCATGAAGCGCGTCCAAGCTGTGCCACCGAGCTCCTGCACCGCTACCAAGCCGTCAGGTCTGTTCCCAAAGCAGCTGCTGCCAGGGACGGGGAAGTGCACCCACGCAGGCCTGATCCGGACCCAGAGGCCGGGCTCCCTCCGCAGCCCCACCGACTCCTTTCCCCAAGCCCTGCCTCCGCCTGGGAGGCTTCTGGGAACCCCGTTGCCCTCTGCGGCTGCAGGTCAGAGGTGCGAGACGTGCTCAGCGGAGGAGCTGAAGGCGTGGCCTGGAACTCAAGAGCAAGAGTTCCAGGTTCGAGGCCTGGCTTGACCTTGGAGCTCCGTGCAAGAGGGGGAAAGCCAGGATCCAAAGTGAGAATACGACAGCGGGGAGGTGGCACCGGGTGCTTTTCAGGGCCCTTCCTTTGTGCATCACTCAGGGAAGGTGTTCCCTCTGGTGTTGTCTCAGTAAATCACTAGCGCAGAGACCTTCCTCCTGCTCTTTTCCTCCTCCCTCCTAATTCCCTTTCCTCTCATGTGCGGTCTTTTCACTCAAGTCCATGAGCAGGGGCTGTGGTCTTTCTGATCTCTGTAAGAAGCCCGGGGGGACCCTTTGGGCTGGAGAGGGGGTCATGAACGCTGGGGAAATCAACCCAGTATTCTTGTCCCCCTTATGGGACAACCATCAAAACCTTTCTAAGAGCAATGCAGTGAAGTTCCACGCAAACACAGAAACAGCGCGCGTCAGAAGGGGCCTCCCGGGCCATCAAGTCTGACCCCCGGCTCCAGCTGGATCCACGCAGGACATGCCCACCATGTGGACGTCCAGCTTGTCCTTGGACGCCCTCAAACATCTTCGAACCGTCCCACGCAAGGAGGCATCGGAGTGACCGAAGGCGGCTCGCTAGCTTGAAGGACCAGCCGATCGATGGTCGCGAACGAATGCGGCCGTGGACGCGCATCGGGAGAGCCCCGCGGCGGCTCGGAGCCCCGTCCCCGCTCGGCCTTGCGGGGCTCGCGTGGCCCAGCCTGCGGGGCTGTTGTGAAGCGGGGCGCGGGCGCGGGCACGCCGCGCCTCCCCCCCCCCCGGCCCATCCCCTCCCCTCCCCTCCCCTCCCCTCCCCTCCCCGCCGCGATGGTCCCGCTGCCTCGTGCGCGAGCCCCCGCCCCCCCGGCTCCGCTGGGCTGACCCGCAG